TGGACCAAATAGACCGTTCCCTAGTTTGTCGTGCGTTCTTTCAAAAAATCGGGACTGTCCCGCCAAAAGTGGTCACCTTAAAACTCATCTGGAGGGACCAAGACACATATGAATGTGACAGCCAAGTCTACACTAGGGAATTATCGCAATGAGGTCACTCAGCATTCACCAGTATCAACATGGGCAGGGGAGGGGGGACAGATTACGGGCTGCAGCTCAACCAGTGTGTCAGAACATCCTCCGCACCACCCACCTCAGTCTCCAAGAAGACCTGGGCTCATGGCTATGAAAGGTCTGTTTTCAACGAGGCAGGTGAGGGTGGGTTTTGCTGTTGTTGTTTTTAGGAAGTGGATCTCCCGGAAGTAACCTGAGTCAGACTGCAGAGGATGGAAGCATGGTCCTAGAGGTAGTTGGGGGAGGCATAATTTAACCTTGATTTACTTAGGAGATGGTAAAGCTGGCTGACGTTTGAGGAGGCGGCGGAATGAAAAGATAGTCTTAAGACAACGCTCCCTCAGCACAGATTAGCTGACCGTGATAACAAGCAGCACACGTGGGGAGAAGTCAAATGCACTTGCAGGGGACTCCCTCATCAGAGTGGAGGTTACTTGGGGGCTGATGTAGGAGGGCGCCTGAATTTCAGGTTCAGGCATTTAGCCAGTCTAGCCAACCAATCAGGAGCTTTGATCTTCTCGAACTGAGAAAGATATACCTGAGATTTTATGCCCTGCAATTCTGCAGCACATCAGTGGGGTTTGTTTTGTTTCATTCACTCACTGACCTGCAGGACCTCGGGCAGGAGATAGCGAGGATAATGGCAATAGATGACTCGTGAATGATAGACCGAAGGGGTCGGATTAAGCAACCTTGGAACCAAACAGAATCCAATGACTCTCGGCTTTGGGAAAAGGCTGTCCCAGCACCTCTGGTGCACGAAGTGGTTCAGCTTTAAACTTAAAGGAGTAATTTAGCTCCCTTAATCTATTTAGTTAAAAGAGACAAAATTCTATTGAATTTCTTTCTGGTAGGCAAACCACTCCTCCCTGCTTTCTCAAAATTCATTAGCGAGATCTAAAGGGTTACTGGACCCGTAGCCCTAACTTGCATAATTTCTTTCCGATGGCTGGGGCGGGCTGAGTTATACATTTATCTTTGAACACTCTCCCCACTCCTTAATAAATGGACTGGGTCCTCTGTAAAACTCCCTCATTTCTCTTTCATGCTTATTACATCCTGCAAGGACAAATAAATCTGTCTTGGAAGAAGTACAGCCAGAGTGCTCCTTAGAGGCAGGGATGGCGAGACTTTGTCTTACACACTTTGGACATGTTGTCAGGCGAGACCAGTCCCTAGGACATCATGCTTGGTAAAGTTGGGGGGTAGTGAAAACGAGGAAGGCCTACCATGAGGTGGATTGACATCGTGGCGGCAACCATGGGTTCAGGCATGGCAAAGAGGGTGGTGGCAGCACGGGCCAAGTAGCGCTTGGTTCTGTTGTGCGTGGGATCGCTATGGGCCGGAACCGGCTCGATGTCACCTAGCAATAGCATAGCCTTCTGCAAATGGGGTGTTCAGAATTTACCAGACTCTGAGATGCTAGCAAGCTCTCTTTCAACTTTTGGAGGGGCGGGGTTGCTTCATGATCCTGATTTAGAGCTGGGCCACCTGAGGCCCAAGGAAACTCCAGGAGCAAGGCCTGCCGCACAGGGCGTTTAAATCTACTGAGGGAGCAGGTGGTGTGGTTCAGTGGTAGAATTCTGATCGTCTCTGCAGGAGAAAGATGGCGCTTCCTACTCTCAGAAAGACTGACAACCTTGGAGCCCGCCCCCACCCCAGGGGGGATAGTTCTGCTCTGTCCCATAGGGTCACTAGGAGTCAGTACTGACCCAGCAGCAGCAAGTTGGGTTTTGTGGTTTTGTGTAGGAGACCTGGGTTCGATTCCCAGTCAGTACACCTCCTGGGTCCCAATGGTGCCATCCTATGGTGCATGGGGTCACTAACCAGGCAGAGGGCCAACTAGGTGGCAGCTAACAACAGGGACGACCCTGAAAGAGTCAAAGTCATTCAGCTGAGGCCAGGGTGGGACAGGAGCATCCCGTCGCTAACTAGGTCTGGTTGTTCTTACCTGTAATGTTCTTACCTGTCATCCTTTGCTTCCTGGTCACCTCATAGCAGAAGAGTGGACAAGGCTATGGGACAGGGCAGTTCTCTCTGAGAACCCCAAACATACCTGCATCCCTGTGTTAGTCCAGGTAGACTAGAGAAGCAAATCCAGGGAGACGCATATGTGTATAAGAAAGAGCTTTAGATACAAGAACAGTTGACTATTGAGAAAACATCCCAGCCCAGTCCATAATCAAGTCCATAAGTCCAATATTAGCCCATATGTCCAACACCAATCTATAAAGTCCTCGTCAGACTCACGAAACACATGCAATGACATCGAATGCAGGAAGACCACAGGCCAGTGGGTGGGAAGTCTTGTGGATCGAGTGGCAGTGTAAGCATCTCAGCGCTGACAGGGGTCTGCACGGGGCTCCTCCAGCTCAGGGCACTAGCATAGCTCCATGTGTCTTGTCAGCTGCAAGGTCTCCCAGGGAGTGAGCCAAGAGAGAGAGTCTCCTGCCTCCAAGGAGGAATACTGGAGTTTTCCAGAATCCTCAGGAGAAGGCCATGCCCACACAGAGGCCTCATTGGCTATGACCTGATTGACAAGCTAGACTCCACCCCTTCACTCTTAATCCTCTCAAATTGACAAACGATTATATAACTACCACAAACCCTCTTGTTGCTGTCAGGCGTCCTCAGTGAATTCCAATGCACAGCCACCCTGTGTGGCATAGTAGCTTCAGCCTCCAAGAGGGATGGTTGCCACTGCCATCTCCGTGGCAACCGCTCATCTGGTCTTTCTCCCAGGGGACTCTGGGGTTGGTTCACTTTGCCAGCCTCTTGATTTACAGCGGAGCGCTTAACCAACACACACCCAGGGCCCCTTGTTGTGCAGGGCAGCAGTGAGAGATGGCACTGTGGATGAGGACAGGGAGGGAACTAGGGACAGCCTCTTGGTACACACCTGGATCGGGCCCAAGGAGCCCTGGTGGCACTTGGGGAGGAACCAAACTCATTAGTTGGGAACTACCGGCTCCTCGGGGAGAGGGCCCGTGGGTGCTAGGAGGTGGACTCCATCAGACATCAACGGATTTGGATTGGGATTTTTTTTTAATCCATTCCTGGACCGATCTCAGAAGGGAGTGTGAGTCACAGAAGAGACGCCTTGGCAGGGGTATTTTAGCACCTGTCTTATGTGAGATTGGCATAAATGCGTTCATAATTCTGGTTCCCAAGTTGCTGGACAAACCATCATCTCCCCGTGGATTTTCTGGGAGATGGGTCTCTGGTGGCCTAGTAGGTTACACACGGGGCCACCTATCACAAGGTCAGCAGTTTCAAACCACCTTTGCTTTCTACTCCTGTAGACAGTCAGTCTCAGAGACCCACGGGGACAGCTCTACCCTGTGACGAGTCCACATGAACTCGATGGCCTTTAGGTTTGTGGGTTTGTTTTGTTGAGAGAGTTGTGTGGGATATAAAGACTTTTCCCTAGCTTTGTCTCCCCCAAAGACATGCCAAACATGAGAGGCTGTTTGCCAGCACATGGTGGGAGGTCAGATGCTTAGAGACATTCTCCCTGAAGGCATTCAGCCACCAGACTG